TCTCAGAGGTCACTGAGTCCAAACCCCTCAATTTATTGATGAGAAAACTGAGACCCAGGGATGTTAAGTGACTCATTTTGAAGGAGGAGGCAACATGCAAACAACTATGTACATACAAGATATATGCAGGGTAAATTGGAGATATCTCAGGGGGAAGACATTAGCAGTATGTGAGATGGAGCTGGGAGTTAGGACCTAGAAAGGCCTCTTGCAGAAAGTGGAATTTGAGCTGGGTCTTAAAGTAAGACAGCCTGTTGAAGGAGGCAGCAGATAAATCAGTGGATAGGTAAGTCAGTGGATAGAGTGCTGGACCTGGAGTCAGGAAGACCTGAGTTCAAATTCAGCCTCAGACATTTACCAGCTGTGTGACCCTGGGTGAGTCACTTAACTTCTGTTTTCCTTAATCCACTGGAGAAAGAAATGGTAAACCACTCCAGTGTCTTTGCCAAGAAATCTCCATGGACAAATGAAGTCAGACACCACTGAACGACCGATCAACAACAGTAAACTTGAAGGAAAATGGAGCAGCTAAGTGGTACAGATAAAGAGAGAGAGGACTCCCAACAAGGGGAATATATTTGGTCTGAGTACTCTGAGACTGTTCCATTAGACTTCGGATTTTCTTTTGGTTTGGGGGTAACCCTTATCATTGCGATCATATTTAATTTACACAGAGATGAGATGAGTCATATCAAATGTATCAGAAAAGTGCCAATTAAGATGCCACCATGTTTTAGCTGCCAATGGCAGCCTGCCAGGCTTTTTACCTTTACATTTTTTCTCTGTGTATTGAGAATTATACATTATTATTATTATTATTATTTTATTTTATTTTATTTCATTTATTTATTTATTTTTGCTTAGGCAGTCAGGGTTAAGTGACTTGCCCAGGGTCACACAGCTAGTAAGTGTCAAGTGTCTGAGGTCACATTTGAACTCAGGTCCTGCTGACTGCAAGACTGGAACTCTATCCACTGTGCCACCTAGCTGCCCCTAAGTTGTACAATATTGCCGAACCTGGTACCCAACATGTTTTGCATTCTTCCATTTGATTCATTATACTTGACTGTAGCCATTTTATAATGCTTTGGCTAAAGGAATAGTTTCGATAGCAAGCCTGAAATGTAAGTCATTTATTTACCTAGTCAAAACGAGAGAAGAGCTAAGTTGATTCTTTAGCACAGGAATGGATTTTGTTTTTCTTATAAGTAATCCAGGAGAAAGGGATAAGGAATGGGGCCTGACCCGTGATTTTATTGATGTAGTGAAAAAATTTTATCTACCAGTGTAGCTAAGCACCTTCTCAGCACTTTAAGTGTTAAGAGAGCTGTCTAAAAGCACTGAAAGATTAAGTGACTTGTCCAGGGGACACATCTCTTTGTGTAAAAGGTGGGGCTATCCACGACCTCCTAGGCCAGCCTTCTCTCCACTATGCCGAACTCCATCTGATACAGGAAAATAAAATTTTAAATGGAAAAATCCCCCTTGTGAACCATAACTTCTAGGGTACAAATACTGTGTCATATGTATAGAAGTGAGTAAGTCACATTGCCTCAATTGTTTTCTGACTAAATTTGTGGCATGAACATTCTGATTCCCTTCTCCCTTTTTTATCAGTAAAGACAAGAGTAAAGGGAGTAAATTATTAATCTTATTATTGTTTCCTGTTAGTGTCAAAAATGAGTTTCTCTGTATGGCTTTGTGTAGTTCATACTAGGAAGTATCTTTTGTTATTATATTGCAAGGAAAGTCGTCACAGTTAGGGGACCTCCTGTTACATAATGTTTATAACTGTTTACAATCAGGTTTTGGCTGTATATCACTTGTCAGCGTGAAGAAACAAAAGTGCCTTTTTTTTTGACAATATGAAGAGAGGTTGCTCTGAACTTAATTAGGTTTGTAATAACTTTTGCCCAATATTAGTTTTCACAATACCAGTTTGACATGCATATTTACCTATACTAGGATTTTCAAATATGTATATGTTTACTATTCATGTGTGCATACATTAATTCATTTAGTAAATATTTATGAAGAATCTACAGTAATATATTTAAGGTTACTGGGGATACAAAGAAAAAAAACCTGACACTGCCCTTGTTTTCTGTTTTTGTTCAGCTGTTTCTGTGTGCCTCCATTCGGGGCTTTCTTGGCAAAGATATTGGAATGGTTTGCCATTTCCTTTACCATCATTTTACAGATGAGGAAACTGAAGAAAACAGGGTTAAGTGACTTGCCCAGGATCACACAGGTAGTGTCTGGGGGCAGATTTGAACTCAGGTCTTCTGACTCCAGACCCTCTACTCTATCCAATATGCCACCTAGCTGCCCTTATACTCTAGAAGCTTATATTCCACCAGAATATAAATGTCTTGTTTTTATAGTCTTCTCACAATAACCATGTGCAAAGATGATTATATCCATGTTATGGTGATGAAACTAAGGCACAATGATGTGATATAACTAGACCGGCCATACAGCCAAGTGGTAGAGCTAAGATTTGGACTCAGTCTCCTGAATTGAAAACAATAATTTTTTCCACTCATGGCACATGGGACCATAGATTTAGAGCTGGAAGGGGCTTTCCAGGCCTACTGCTCAATTTACTCAATGAACAACTGAAGCTGCAAGAATTTAGTTGACTTGTTCAATTTATACTGACTTGTTCAAGTTATAGGACTAGTAAGTGAGGGCAAGATTTGAACTCATGTGGTTGGGCTTCTAAACTCTGTACTTTATCAACTACACCTCTAGGTTGCCTTTGCCCCACCCAGAGAAAGCAAAACAAATTATTCAATTATCTAAGATTACCTTTTAAATTAGTGTATTGTTTCTAGGGATTTGGAGTAGTGAGATTTTTATTTAAAGAATGTAGACATTTCTGTTGTATTTAGCTCTTTGCCTCATCTTTTAGATAGGAAATTACAATTTAAATGTGTGGAATTTATTTTAAAGAGTTTTTTTTTTTAAAGAATTTAGTTATATTAATGCATTTGTATAATGTACATTTTCTGGGTTGTTTAGTTAGCATTTTCTGTTTCTGTGTCCCTGGGCTGTCCCAACTCTTAGGTTTAGCTCTAGTTGAGGTCATTGACAGTTTCTCACAGTGCCCACTTAAGGGGCGAGTTCTTTTCTCACCCAGCTGTGGAGCTAGAGAGCTGGGTTCTAGCCTTGGTTCGATTACTAATAAGCTCCGTCTGCACCTTGAAAATAAGGTTGGACTGTCCATTGGCTGTCTCTTCCAGCTTTACCTTTGCACATGTCTACTCTCTGCTGTGGTACCCATCTCTCTCTCAGGCCAGCCCTCCTTACTCATCCTTCTCTCACCTCCAGCTGCACACAGATAGATATGCTGTCCATCCTTATTTGTCACCTGGAACTTTTCCTCCAGTCAGGCGCTGAGAGCAGTTTGCTCTGTGTCCCTTGGAGTGGTGCCTACTGTTGCTATTTCATTGGCAAGAACAGATAGATCTCTTCCACGAAGGACCATATGAGTGTCTTCTTCCTTAGCAAATATATTCATTGTTTCTGTTGCATTTAACTGCAGTGATCAGGGAGAACCTTGTGTTGGAGTTGTGACATTTCAGAGCTATCTCACACTGCAGGTATTCGACTTAATAGGTTCATTTGAGTAGTTGTTGGATCTAAATAGGCCAACGATATGGAAATATCAATCCAGAAAGTATACAAAAATTTAGCTCTTCAAGATCTGGGGTGTATGAAAGTCACACTAAGTTGCCCAGCTGCGAGCTCACCTAAGGGAAGTTGAAGTATATTTGGGGTAGGTAATGGCTACATGCAGCTGCTAGATGGCGCAGTGGATAGAGCGCTGGTCCTGCAGACATGAAAACCTGAGTTCAAATCTACCTTCGGACACTTAGAGCTGTGTGACCTTGGGCAAATCACTTTAACCTCTCTGCCTCAGTTTCTTACTCCATAAAATGAAGATGATAATAGCACCAGCCTCCCAGGCCTGTTGTGAAGATTGAATGAGATAGTTTGTAAAGAGCCTGGCATATATTAAGTGTTATATAAATGTTAGCTATCATTATTATTACACAGAGGGGTGGGTGTTTAGTCAGTCGTTTGGCCGAGTTTGACTCTTTGTGACCCATTTAGGGTTTTCTAGGCAAAGAATTTTGGTGTTTTGCCATTTCCTTCTCCAGTTCATTTTGCAGGTGAGGAAACTGAGGCAAACAGGGTTGAGTAACTTGCTCAGAGTCACACAGGTAGTAAGTAAGGCTGGATTTGAACTTAGGTCATCCTAACTCCAGGCCCAGTGCTCTAGCCACTATGCCAACCAGCTGCAAATGGATACTTTCTTCATTGATAACACATGGCAGTTTGAAAGAAGACAAAATGAGATGTAGAAGGGTCATCCCTGCACATGTAGGCACCTTAATGAGACAGTCCTTAGAGAAAAAGTTTTTTTTCAGTTACAGCCGGAAGGCAGTTTTGGTTGGGGTGAGTGCCACCTCAACAGTATGATAATAATAACTGATATTTAAATAGCATTACCAGAATTGCAAGCCTGCGTGGATGCATATACTAAACAGGACCTCGACGCTCTGGTGAAATAAAGTGTAGGAGAAGGAAACAGTAGATGCTTGTGGGAGAAAGGAAAAAAAGACAGAGGGTTTGGGGGTCAAGGAGGAAAGGAAGAAGAAGAAACCTGCTAGAGGGAGCTGAGTTCAAGCTAGGTGTTGAAGAGAGAGCAGACAGCCTTGAGAATAAAGAGAGGTTTCCAAGCTTGGGTGAGACAAGTAGGCGCTAGAGGGCTATGGCTTAACAGGTGCCCCTTTCAGTCTTTCTTGCAATTTCTGCCCCAGGAGAACCTATTGAAAGCATGCTAGAAATCCTGCAAGAAGGAGCTCCAGAGTGCACCGCGGGTGCAAGGTTCTGACAGGGTTAAAACAGTCACCTGCAGCCGAAGTGAGACTCAGATGGGAAGTAGGAAGTGCTGCGCTGGAGCTTCCTGTATAAATAAATGCAGCTCTTTCCCCCCCCACCCCACTAAAGCTGCTGCTCGCTAGCCGCTGCGCTACCCTGCTTTGCCTGTGTAAGCTTTGATAGCAATATGCTCTTGAGAGCAGGGAGGAGATTGCCCTACACCGTCTCTTTATAAAGGTCTGGGAAAGACGAATCCTGTTGCAATCCTAAAAAGTGTATAGCTGTCAGCAGCTGCACACGGGGAAAGCTCCCTCTTAGAGCAATGAAACAATTTCTTCTCCAGTCGGTGAGCAGCCCAGAGTGGTTGGTGATATTATGAGCCTCCTCGGCTGCCCTGAGGAGTGAATGGGGGGCTGTCGGAAAGTCAGACAGCTGCTGGTGGCCACCAACCTCTTGGTGCAAGGTATGTTTCTGAGAACTTGCTTTCTATTCTGCTTACTTTTATTTAACGTGGCAGTGCCAGAAAAAGGAATATAGTGTTTGAGATTAGAACAGGGGACTCTGACCAAGAACCATGACTTGTATGATATTTCGGTAAGTTTTTGCAGACAGTGCTTGCAAGGATAGGTGATTAAATTAATTCAGGGATGCTTGGCTATAAAGGTTTTGAAAACGTGTTATTGTGTTTGTATTTTGAAAAGATTTTCTTAAAGGCAAAAAAAAAATCGTTGTTACACTGGGCAGTAAGTATTTTTCAGAAGTGCATTTAAAAACTGCAAAAAGCATTAGCCCAAACCTTGGCTTGTGATTTAAGTAGTCACGTATTCTCAGATGTTTACCTGCTGTTGTTTGGTAATAACTGCCTCGTTCCCCCAAACACTGACATCAATAAAATAAACTCCTATGTCAACCATTGCGCCTTACGCATGATTATTGTTTGGCTGCTTATATTTGAAAGGAAGTAGAACTTTAAAATTGTGTATTCCCTGTACTACTTATTTCAGATGTCAGCTTATTATGCCCGGCACATAGTAGGCGCTTAATAAATGTTTGCTGATTATTGATTAAAATTTAAGTGATTCCTAATATGTGTTTTTAAAAACATGAGTGGTGGGGGGAAACTTATGCTTACCCCTCAATACACAAATGCTTTTTGTGTTTCACTTTCTCTATCTGTCTTAGGCATTCAACTGCAGTACTACCTCTGTAGGGTGAACTTCTTATGTTTTGGTTTCTCCGTGTCGAATTCACTATTGTGAAGAAAATGCATCGACTTCATGCCTGGAGTTCAGTCTGGCTATTCTTTTCTCTGCCCCATGCATTTTGCTGGAATGTTAGAAGTGGTTCCCAGCAGGAATATTCCTGGACTTCCAGTTGGGCATTTCTGGAAGAAACCAGTCTTGTAGCATCAAAAGTCAAGAATTAAAATATCCACCCTCAAACAACATCCCTTTAGCAAGTAACATGACCTAAAAATTCCTGAAAGAGCAGATTGGCCGTCTGTAGGTCTACCAGCAAAGTAAACTAACTTTAAAATGACTCAGTTTTTTAGGGTGTGGGTGAGAAAGGCTAAAGGAAACCGGCCAGTCTTCACACCGGAGCTGGCCAATCACAAGATCTAGCTTTCTTTGTGAGCAACATTCATTTACCAGGCTCTAGCTGCCCCACTTCTTTTCCCTTTGCTGATTTTATCCCTCTCTCCTTGTTCTTTTCTTCTTTCCTACCTTTTAAGTTTGCAGGGGGTATATACCTCTGTAGTTTTTCTGAAGTCTCTCCCCCCCTAGTGATCTGTAAACAAACATGCAATTACACCCACAAAGCCAATTAGATTGTAGCTTTATGAAATCAATCTCTGCTCCCTCCCCCATACCTTTGGCCCCCATTAGTATTTTATTTTCCGTGACAGATGCCCCCTTGGGAACAGGATGGTGATAGAAAAAGCCTCTCCTGCAAAAGGAGAGTCTGATTAACCGAAACAGATTTAATCAGTGCAGAAACTCACTTAAGGTAAACATGCTTAGTCAACACAGGAGAAATTTTGAGCAGTCGCTGAAGCAGGCAGAATCAGGTCATAGTTTTTTTTATTAAAAAAAAAATTGCAACCCAGCTATGCTCTAACCCTAGCCCAGCCTCTGCCACACTGTTGGAAGTATAGGTTTGAGGGCAGTCAAACATTGTCCATTTACCCAGTGCTCTACAAATATTTACAGTAATCCGTGCCAAATATCTTGGGGCTGATCCCCCAGGAACATTTCCTTGGAATTCAATAGCCCCATTCTAATGAATGGCTTCAGCTTATTGGCAATTTAATTATTGGGAATTTAGGCTTCCAAAATAGGTCAGCATAAGAAAAAAAACTTTCTGGTCACTAGCCATGAACCAAAGAAGGGGTTTATTCCTACAGTGAAGAAAAATGTATCGTCTTTTGGAACAGAAGAACTGCCATTTCTACACACTACCATTTAGCTTCCTGGGAAATTTAAGCATCAAACGTAAAAGCTAGTTGCTTGCAATTAGACAGCCAGTGTTTTGTGAGTTTACTTCATCCCTCCAGAGACTTGGTCCCAGTGTTTTAGATGTTAAAATACATATGTGTACATTTAAAAACATATTCCTCTTTAATTATTCTGCACACATTTCTCTGTTTTACTGACCATGACTTGTGGCTTCACTTTCCTGTTCAGCTAGCTCCTTTAGGGTCTGAGATCTGTAGATTGAGGTGGAGGTCAGGAATCATGCTGAACCCAGATGTTGGTTGGTGGGTGAGCAAAGTCCAGATAACTGGAGATTGCACCTATTTTGCATAACCAATTATTTTGGGTATTGGAGAAGGGCCAAGTGGCCACAGGAATCATGCTTCCAAATGCTCTGTCTCTGGACCCTGCCCCAAGAGGCTGTCTGTGGAATGGAAGTTTCAGTTGTATGTGGGCACCATGATTGAAGTGCTAGGTTTCCCCTTAAGGCTGCCTCTGGTCGTCAATTAACAAGCATTTATTAAGTGCTTATTATATGCCAGGCACTGTACTAAGCACTGGAGACACTGTTCTTCTAAGTTTGCTGGTGTTAATTTGTATCTATTTCCAGTGATTGAACAGGGGTCGAGAGGAAAGGAGTGGATAAAGAGCAGCAGTTTTTTGGGACTTTCATGACTATTCCCAATTTTAGTTTTGGACAGTTAATATTCAGATAATAGAGAGTATATTGCGATTTTAAGTTCATTATTTAACAGCACGTGTTGAAATAGGTCTAAATATTGTTTGCTGACTTCAAATTTGAGCCTTTCCCTGCTTTCTATCCTAGTAATGAAACTCTTGGTGGCAGTAAGAATAAGTTACCAATTTGAAGTCAGTATACTAATTGGTGTTCAGGGGAGCTTGGTCTATTTTTTTTTCTAGATCTGCTCCTTTTGTGTTGCTATTACATAATAAACTTAAGATTCTTTTGTTTTAAAAATCTCTGAAAGTTGTTGTACTGAAAAAGAAGAAAAGCTTTTGGCATTTATTATTTTTTTCCTAAACAAGCAAGTAGTTCCTGTCTGCCTCTTCAATGTGGACAGGGAAATGTTTCTGGTCATTTTCTGCATTTGAATACAAAACATACTCCCTTAAATATAATAGTGGGAGATGCATCTGTTCATTTGGATTGGGGTACCCAGGGTAGCCTGTGACACCACTGGAATCTCTCAGACTCGAATTCAAAAATGTTGGGGCTTTTAAATGATATCTTGTCTCTCTGGCTTGTTTGTCTCTATCCAGTTTGAAAGAAAAAAAAAACAGCTTCACAACAATAACAACTCAGAACACCAAAAGTTCTGCTGTGCTTAGCACAGTGCTAGGCATATTGTAGGTGTTTCATAAATGTTTATTGAATTGAATTAAATCCAAGTTAACTCGGGTCTAGATGTGTGATGGCTCATTGTACTCACAGATCCAGGGTAAGAATTGCACTGCAACAGTAAAACATTTAATTGAAGAACTAGAGTAATAGCAAACAAAAGAGGAAATAGCATTAGTACATATTCCCAAATGAGTATGATCTCTTCTGCCTTTCCTCCCAGAGTAGTTTAGAAAACAAACTCTTCTAAGACTCACAGGTCCACAAGGGAGGGAAAGAGAGAATAAATATTTATATAGTGCCTATTATATGCCAGATGCTTTAGAAACATTATCTTATTTGATCCTTACCACAACCCTGCAAAGGAGATGCTGATATTATTTCTGTTTTCCAGATGGGGAAACTGATGCAGACAGGCTAAATTACTTGCCCAGGCTCACACAGCTTTAAGTAAGCTGCCTGAGGTCACATTTGAACTCAAGTCTTCCTGACTCTAGGCACAGAGCTCTATACCATACCTGATACCTAATGCTACCCCTATCTGGCTAAAAAAAGGATGGGGTGTATTATACTTTGAAAGCTTAAGTGCAACCTCCCCACCTCCACCCCTACACACACACACACACACACACACACACACACACACACACACACACACACACACACACACACACACCACAATCTAACATCATGGCTTGAACACTGTTCTTGCTATGGCTGGGAAGCAGACCAGTCACCTATATCTGTGTTACTTGTACTCCTACAACTGGCTAGATCAGGTCCTACTCATCACTTCTGGGCAAAGTGGCAGTTTGATAACTTTTCTACAGCCAGAATATCTCATTTCTTTGATCCATGTCTAATCTAACAACAACCAAAAAAAAAAAAAACCCTATTATTTTCTCTTATTTTTAGAACCTTCTCTTCTTTATGCTCATGGATCCTGTAGCACCCTCCACTTCTTTCATCTTGGCTTCTGTTGCCACAATCCTCCTGATAACAATCAACTTTTTAAGGCAGGTGCACAGGAGTTGAGAGTTCTTGTTTTTTCAATGAGTATCACATTGAACCCAGGCATCCTGGGAAATGTAGTATCTCCCTCCCTCACTACTGTTGTAATGTTAAAGAATTGTAGTGAAAGTTATTTCTGGTTAATTGTTAATAGGTTCTCAGGAACAGTAGGTTTGAATCCCAACTCATGGTCATCTAGCTCTTTGTCCTTCCTAGAGGAACAGTGGTTTCAAAGTTCATTATGTTTGATTGAAAATCAAGGTAACCCAAAATCCTATAAAACTTCCACTTTCAGTGACATTCTATTTAGCTCGTAGATTGATGCTGCAAAACCTGGCTGGCTCCCCCTTAGCATAGTGATGAGGTATGGAAAGCAATTTCCTCATTGCTTCTAATATCATATTATTAATTCTTTCTGCAGCCACAAAACAACCTCCTTACTTTCTTGTATCATAGTTTCCTTCTTACAAAAACTTGTGGTTTGGCAAAGGAGCACATTATGCTATCGAGGTAGTGAAGACCCCTTTACCAGCTGAATGTTTGGAAAAGCACTAAGCAAACAGGAACTGAGGTTTCTAGTCCCCTGTGCATTTCTTTGACATCCTCAGAAATTCACAT